AATAGACATATAATATGCTATAATAAAAAAACTATTTAAAACATGAAGTGGGGGAAGGAAGATGGCTCCGTGCACAAAGTGTGTCAACCAACGGATGGAGGCAGAGACGGGAAGATCCCCGGGACTCGATGGCCAGCAGCCTCGACAAACAGGGGACTTCCAGGTTCAGTGAGAGCCGTCTTCTGCCTCAAAGATAAGGTGGCCGGAAACTGAAACTGAGAAAGTTGCCTGGTGTTGATTTCTGGCCACACGTGTGGGCGTGTGTGCACGCACACACACATACACGCACGCGCGCACACTTTTTGAGACAGTATCTCATGGAACAGAGCAGAGGATGACCTTGAACTGTGGGTCCTCCTGTCTCCACCTCCCTGGGTGACAGGCGTGTGCCACTACATCTGGTTTATTCTGTGCTGGGGATGGAGCCCAAGGCCTCCTGCAGGCTGGCCAAGGGCTCTGTCTCCTCAGCCCCCCCCCCCCCCCCCCACCCCCACCCCCGTTTTAAGTGTTGACACTTTACTAGGAAACTTAAGTACCCTGTGCCTCAACTTCCTCTTTGGTATTCAAATGGCTTTGCTCCTTTCTGCCTCAGTTTCTCCCCCTGCACAATGCTAACTGTGCTGACCAATTCTCTCTCTCTCTCTCTCCCTCCCTCCCAGGGGCCAATGCCAGCTTGATAGGCAGGGGCGGACCTCTGCTGTGGGAGACTCGACTCGGCCTGGCCTTCCTGAGGGGCCTGGAATACCACAACGGGGCCCTGGTGACCACAGAAGCCGGCTACTACTACGTATACTCCAAAGTGCAGATGAGCGGCGTGGGCTGCCCCCAGGGCCTGGCCAACGGCCTCCCCATCACCCACGGGCTGTATAAGCGCACATCCCGCTACCCCAAGGAGCTAGAACTGCTGGTCAGCCGGCGGTCACCCTGCGGCCGAGCCAACAGCTCCCGAGTCTGGTGGGACAGTAGCTTCCTGGGCGGCGTGGTACATCTGGAGGCCGGGGAGGAGGTTGTGGTCCGTGTGCCTGGAGACCGCCTGGTCAGACCCCGAGACGGCACGAGGTCCTATTTCGGAGCATTCATGGTCTGAAGGCTGCAGTGACAATGGATTGCAAGGAGGAACCTCTCCAGGACAGACCTCAAGCCCAGCAAGCAGGGATCTTGGAGTTCCCCTTAAGGATCCCCAAATTCTACAGGTGGAGTGCTCAGTGACCATGCAGACTACTGACCTGCCTTGGGAAATCTTCAAATTGAAGACTTAGGGTGCGGAGCCCAGGAGTGCGGGGTCAGCCCATTTGCCTGATATTCAGGAAGAAAGAATAAAGCTTGGGTATTTATGGGTCTGATGCAGACATCGTGGACTTGGGATTTCTGGGCTTATGGGTTGGAGACAAGAAACCTCTCTGAGGTGTTGGGGGGAGTTATATCCCCAGGACCCTGTGGGGAGCCTACCGGGCTCCACACTCTGGCCTCTCCCATCGATCTGCTGCACTGGCTTCCAGCCACCAAGACGGCATTGGCCAGCTGACTATGACTGGCCTCAGGCCAGCTCCTGAACACACAAATCCTTCAGAGAGACTCTGATGGGACCTCCGTGCTCAGCCCAGGGCACAGCTGCGACACAGTCCAGAAATGATGAGGGAAAGGGAGAGAAGGAGGGAATGCCGAAGAGAAGGAAAGAAAAAAGGCAGAAGGGGGAGAATAAAGAGGAGAGATGGGAAGCGACCCCCTCAGGGGCACTTTATCAAACACACTTAGAACAGATGTACCAGGCCCACAGGATGCCTGGGGCTGGAGGGCGTGGGAGGCGGCTCAGAGGGTAGAGAGGTCTGATCCTGAGGATCAGAGTTCAAATCCCCAGAGACGGGTGTGGTGGCGGGGAAGGGGGGACAGGAGAACCTGTGGACTCTCTGGGGAGGGGGTGGGGGACGGGAGGACCTGGGGGCTCACCAGGGAAGGGGGAACGGAGAACCTGGGGGCTCTCTGGCCAAGCAGTCTAGCTGAACCGGTGAGCTCCAGGTTCAGTGAGAGCCCCCCTCAAAGAAGGTAGACAGCTCCTGATGATGACATCTGGACCCCACAGGCAGGACACATGCAGAATAAAATAAAATAAAGAATCTTAAATAGTAGTATTTGAGAGGCTCTTTATATGCTCTAATCATTTCCCTTGTTCTGTTTGTCCATTTGTTTCAAACCAGGTCTCAAGTAGCTCAGGCTGGCCTTGAACTTGCTATGTAGCCCAGGCTGGCCTTGAGCTCTTGATCCTCCTGCCTCCATCTCCTGAGTGCTGGGTGGACAGGTGTACGCCACCATGCCTAGGTAAGCACCTTGTGTAGATTATATCTTCTTTATTTTTTTTTCATATTTTTTGAGGCGGAGTCTTGAGCAAGCCTTCTGCCTCAGTTTCCCCAGCATCTAGAATTACAGCTGTGTGTTACCCCAGATGGACATCTGTACAGAGGAACCTAAGCCCCAGGCAGAATGTGTTGCCCCACACCTTCTCGATGCAGAAACCACACCCGAGATGGACAGGGCGGCCTCCCTCTGCTCAGGAGTTACGGCCAGTCTGAGCCCACCTTCTGCCTCCTGTCCTTGCCACGCCGCCACCGCTGGTGGGAGGCGGAAACATCCCAATACCCCGTCACCCCCACTGAGTTTCCTTTATGCTCATCGTGGCCTGTTTCCGTGGCTTTGATGAGACCAAGGTGTGGGGACAGTGTATTTATAAAAAGCTGCAGCACCCCGCAGTTTCCGTCTTAAGAAGAAAAAGAAAAAAAAAATCATTCTTGAAGATTTTTCTCAGCCTTGAGGAGACTAGAGGGAGAAGGCTGTGGGTGAGGAAGGGGGTGTGAAGACACTAGGAGAGAAGGGAAGGGTGAGGAGGGGGTCGAGGAACACCCGGGAGGCACTGGTGACTTCAGATAAGGCCTAGAGGCAGGAAGCCCCTGGCCTAGTCACTGACCTACTTCTGTGTTTCTTCCACCCCTGGGGCTCCACCACCCTGCTTCCTGGGACCCCATCCTCCCCCTAGGCAGTCACCTACCACTCTTCCCCTCACCTTTTACCAAGACCCAAAATTAATGACCGTGTAGCAACGTCTTAGGATGGCTGTCCGACACCACTGTGTTCAAATGGGAGACATCATTGCAGAGAAATCTTACACTCTGGAGCTGATGTTCTGAGTTCAAATCCCTGCTCTGCCCCTTCCCAGCTGGGTGACTTTGAGCTCTGTGCCTCAGTTTCCCCATCTATGTAGCTCGGGCTGCAGTGAGCTCTTTGGTAACTATTCTTTGCCTAAGCTGGTTGTCACTGTGCTGTGTATGTGTCTCCCCAGAGGTGGTGCTTTGGTGCCGGGTATGGGGTACCTCCCTCCAAATTGTTGGTCAGAGGTCTCCCAGAGGCCACCAAAACAGTACAAACTATTGCCACTGCTCTTCGTTGCACACCCAACCTTGACAAGACCCGATCTTGCCCAGCTTGAACCCTGTGAACTGCAACAGTAGCTGGCTTGGCAGGATGTGCCCATTGGTGCCTGTGGCACAAACGTCATGGGGGTAACTAACTGGTTGGAGTGAAGGCCCACTCCACAGGGGAAAACTCACACCTGGTACTGTGAACCACCCAGGAACCCATGTTTTGGATTCTACTGCTATTATTTTGCTAAATGGACATAGTGCGCGCGAAGCTGCTCTCTAAATCAATATCTCGGTATGTGTAGATCACACAGCTCTCAGACCTTATCGGAGAAGCTTCTCGGTGCAGTGGACAGTAGTCAATGCTGAAACCCACAGTGGGTCACAGGACAGAGAATAAAAGACCGAGGAATACTCAGTCACAAATGGGAGGTCTGTGTCACATCCCTCCCCAAGGCTCAGGGACCATCATGGAAGAGGGAGTAGAAAGACTGTGAGAGCCTGAGGTCAGGCAGGACCAGAGCAAACCAGTGTCTTCTGGACAGGACAGGACCCCAGCACTCAGGACCACACAGCAGCTGTGGTGGCCTCGCGGATCAGGACAGACAGCCTCGCACGGAGGGGGAGGGGCTCATGGCCACACCCTGACTGAGGGAGGAGCTATGGACAGTTGATGGCCGCTGGGGGAGCGAGAGAGCAGCTTTCTTCAAGCGTGTGGCTCCTAGTAGTCCACAGTGCTCCAGTGGATGACCCTCACCCGTGTGGTGTTTGAATGAGAGTGGCCCCCAGAGGCTCATATGTCTGAATGTTTGGTGCCCATTTTGTGGAACTCTTTGGGAAGGATTAGGAGGTGTGGCCTTGATGGAGGAGGTGTGTCTCTGGAGTGGGCTTGGGGGGTTCAAAAGTCCACAGCAGGCCCAATTTCTCTTTCTCCCTCGGCCTGTGGATCAGGATGCAGCTCTCAGCTACTGCTCCAGCACCATGCCTGCCTGCTCCCGGCCGTGATGATCACGGACTGACCCTCTGAAACTGTAAGCAAGCCCTCAGTTAAATGCTTCCTTTCTAAGAGCTGCTGTGGTCACGGTGAGATAGAACAGTAAGACACTCATGCAGGAAGTTCCTGCTGGACCCAGTGAGTTATAAAGAGGAGAAGGACATGAAAGTTGGAGTATGGGGGTCCAGGAGGAGTTGGGGGAGGGGGAGGGGGTGAATATGATAAAAATGCATTATACACATACCTGTAGGAATTCTCAAAGAACAAATTGAAAATACTAATAAAAAAATGTGAGGCTTATTGGGAGACCATTGGGCAACTGGGAGCAGACCCTCAACGAAGAGATGAAAATGTGGTCCCTTCTTTTTTCCTTTCCCACTTCCCAGCCACGGGGTGAATGCCCCCCTTGGAAAGTATTCCCACCATGACACACCTCCACCGGCTCAAAACAACAGGTGCTACCAACCATGGGCTGAAACCGTCCAACACGAAAACTAAATAAACCTTTTCCTCTCTGTATACTGTCTCAGAAAACTGACCCAGCTGTGATTACGTGCACATTTGAACCTCTGATTGTCTCGACTGCTGTGTCAAAGGCAGCCTTGCATTGTCCACAGAGCATCTAGTCAGAGCGCGTTTGCCAAGGGGAACTTGGTAGCCAATATTTGTGTGTGTGTGTGTGTGTGTGTGTGTGTGTGTGTGTGTGCATGTGTATGTGTGTGTGCATGTGTGTGTGTGTGTGTGCGCGCGCGTGTGTATATGTGTGTGTGTTTGTGTGCGTACTTATGCACGTGGAAGGCAGCGGTCAACCTTGGTGTCCTTCTTCAGGCACCATCCACTTTGATTTTTAGGCAGTGTCTCTCACTGACCGGAAGCCCGTTGACTCAGGATGGTGGCCAGCGTGCCACAGTGACCCTCCTGTCCCCTCCACTCCAGGGCTAGGAAGACAAGCGCATGATTGTAGGGATTAGCTCGAGGCAGAATGACCCACACACACTGTGGGCAGCACTATCCGCTGGGCTTGGATCCTGTACTGTATAAAAGCAAGTTGAGTCACAGAGGCATTCATCGCCGCGTCCAGGATGCAGAGTTTCCAGCTGCTTCAAGCCCCTGGGGCTGCGGCTTCTCCACCACAGGGGATCACACCCTTGAACCATGAGCTGGAATGCTTCCTCTCTTGAGTTGCTCTGATCAAGGTATGTTACCATAGTCACCAGAAAAGGAACTAAGACACTCAGGAAGGTGGGAACTGAGACAAGCCCATTGGGTAGTGACTGTTCTCTTTGGAAAAGACACTGCATGGACAGCTTGCCACAGCTGACTCTACACCTCACAGAGAGGCTGGCTGTGAGCTGGCTTTCACCCTTGCGCCGGGCTGATGATTTTATTAAAGGAAGAGCAACTGCCAATCAAAGCTGACATGAGCAACAGCTAGCTGATACAGCCTCCACCTCAACCCTTCTCTCAGTGGCTGCTCCCTAAGGAACCCAGTTGAGGCTGGCCTGTGGCATACCTGAACCTCCAGGAGGGGTGCAAAAAGTTTTCATGTTCTTTTCTCATTAATAATCCAGCTCTATTTGTAATTGAAAATCCACACCAGAGCTGTGGAGCACTCACTGTCTTCCGGGCACACCCTCACGAACTCTTGGTATTTCTGTCATGTGGGGAAGAGGCTCACAGACCCTGCCTCTCCCTGAGTATTGGTCGCTGGTTAACTGTTGCTGGGACAGGTCTTTTCGTCAGTGGTGTGGCTGCCCGTAAGTTATACATGTTCCTGTAAGCAACCCCAGCTAAATTCCGCGGTTCGCCGAGCCACTGTTGGCTCCATCTCTTCCTTGATTCTGTCATTTCCCTTTGTGGGTTGAGTAGGTGTCTGTTCGTATCTCCTCAGAAAAGTTCCTTCAACAACCAGGATGCTGGGGGTGGATACCCAGCTGGGAACCATCCCTTCAAGCATGCTCCTTTCCCTGGACTGTCGAAGTTCCAGACAGCTTAGGAAGCTCTGAACTATAAAGGGTGGGAGAAAGAGCTGCCTGGTTCACAGGTGTCTAAGGACAGGTCTCCAGGTGCAGGTGTCCAGGCCACAGATGTGCAGCTGCAGATGTCTAAGCACAGATCTCCAGGTGCAGGTGTCCAGGCCACAGGTGTGCAGTTGCAGGTATCTAAGCACAGGTGTGCAGCTGCAGGTGTCTAAGCACAGGTGTCCAGGTGCAGGTATCCAGGCACATATGTCCAGCTGCAGGTGTCTAAGCATGGGTGTCCAAGCACAGGTGTCCAGCT